CACACACGCACACGCGCACACAAGCAAACGCAAACCCACACGTACACACGCACGCCTATGCATACACACGCGCACATTCACGCGCACGTTCACGCGCACACGCACACACACACGCACGCCTGTTCCCAGGCCCGCTCTCACTCCCAAACCCACGCTCACGCTCGCGCCCACGTCCACGCGCGCCCCCGCACCCGCGCACATCCACACCCGCCCCCGCAACCTCCCCCACACCACACACACCCGCACACACCCACACCCACGCACACAGACGCACAACACACACCCACACGCACCGCGCACGCACACTCATGCGCGGTCGCGGCCTCGCGCGCGGCGACGAGGCGGAGAGACGCGCGCGCATGCACCCCCCGCTGTCTGACCCTGCCACGCGCGAAGCACCTACTATTCCACGCGCCGAGGCGCTCCGTTTTTCTCGAAAGAACAGTCGCCGCCAGCGCTGAGAATGAGAACCGCTAAATAAATCGCGATTCAGACAATTCTCACCACGCAGGCCGAGGAGGCCGCAGAGAAAAGAGAAACAAGACCAGAGAGGGAGGGGGGGGGGGGGCTTGAGCAGCGGGCCATGGAATGGACGGCAGCGGCAGCGACAACGAGGGATTCAAAAACGTGTGGAACACTGAACTGCATCCCCCGCTGCCTGGCCCTGCCATGCGCGAAGCGCCTACTATGCGCCGAGGCGCTCCGTTTTTCGAGAGAACAGTCGCCGCCAGCACCGAGACAGACCACCGCGAAATAAATGGCGATTCCGGCAGGTGCCACACGCGCACACACACGCGAAGTCGAATTGCCGCACAGGCCGTCAAATCATTAGCTCACATTGACATGGCACTTTGCATCGCAGAAACTCTGCGGCACACGATAGCATCATCGAAGGCGCTGGCGAGTGAGCGGAAGAGCGGAGCAGGATTGGCTTCGGCGACAGCGGTGCTCAGCGGGGGCCCGACTTTCGAGCACTTGGCGAAACCTTCCCGACTTGCTAGCGGGGCCCGAGGAACGCAGTTCGTTTTCTCAGCGCCCCCCCCCCCCCCCTGAAAAAATAGAATTGTGCTGATGACATCGCGCAAGGAAGCTCCATGCGGCGTGACGCCGCCAAAACCGAAACCGAGAATCGCATCATCAAGTTACCGAATTCGACTGCAGCCTGAGCATGGGGGGCGAGGTCGGGCAGACCGAGCACGCGCGTGTCAGAGCGGAGGCGAGGCGGGCCTGGCTGGACGTCGCGCGCGCGCGACCAACTGCCGCATGGCGCGCCGAGATGCACTCCTACAGTCAGGCCCCGCCGGATCCAGCCGCGAATGAGCTGGCGATTGCTGGCCCCCCGAAGATCGAAACCTAGCCCGTGCTTCAGATCCCAGGCAGGCACGCGGCATCCGCGGCGGGCCATCGCTCTGCTGAGGCGGCCCGAGCCTGCGAAGATCTTTAAAGACGTTCTCACCGTGAGTGCGCCTGGAACGGCGGGGCAGCGCGCCTCCCTAAGGGAACCTCGGGGGGCGCGCTGTGGCATCTGAGCGCATGCTTCTGCAGGTCGGGCGGCAATCTGCTGAATTGCTCGCTCAGCCTGCCGCCCTTCTCGTAGCGTCTGACCGGCGAGTCGGTCTCCCACCTGCCCCTCCGACAGCGGCCGCAGCTGGTTGACGAAGTCCCTGCCGGCGCCGGAGTGGCGCAACAGGTGCGGCGTCGGCTCGGGGGCGAGCTTCAGCCGCCGCGCAGCGCGCCGAAACAGCACGGCGAACTCGCCCACCGAGATGGTGAAGAGGCCTGCGTCGGGCCCCTTCCCTGCCGCCAGCCGCTTCAGCACGCCCGCCAGCCACTGGTCGCGCGCCAGGTCGAGCACGAGGCTCCCGTCGAACTCCGCCGTCTTGCTGGGCTTCGCGTCGTCGCCCTCTCGCGGGTGAAGCACCGACGCCCAATGGAGACGCGCCGAGCTGCCGGCGCCCCGCGGTGGCACGGCGTGTCTCGCCAGCGCGCGGGGCCTCTCGCCTGGCCGCATGTAGAACACCATCGAAAACACCGCTCAAGCCGCCGCCTTCCGCTGCCGCTGGCCGACGCGCTCGCGCGCCAGGGCGGCAGCGAGCTCTTCCGGCAGCGGCAGCCGCGTCAGCGGCGGCGTCGGCACCTTCTACCCGCGGAGCGACTGCCGCGCCGCGGGCAGCCGAGCGGACCCGTCGCGGCCGAGCCGCGGGTCGCTCCACGTCAGGGCGGCCAGCATCTGAACCCCGCACCAGCGGTCGACGCCCTCCAGGCACTGTCCCGACATCCACTCGGAGAGGCCGAGGTCGAGCACCGCCGCGTCCGCGTCGGGAAGAGGCGTCACCTCGCGGTCGTAGATCGAGAACCTCGGCCGCGGCGCCAGCCCCTACTCCTCGAGCCACGCGTCGAGCTCGTCGGCCAGCGGCTGGTAGCGGCCCCTGACGGCCTGCGTGCGCACCGTGCTCAGGCGGAGCATGTCAAGCGAGCCCGCCTGGGCAACATTGGCACCGCGCCCGTGCCAACTTCCGCCTCTTGAGCCCCTCGGCGGTCGTCGTGCCACTCGACTCCAAGCGCGGCGGGCGGCCAACCTGAGGGTCGACAAACAGCCGCTTCAGCGCTGGCGTCGATGTGGCCGCTCCGCGCGGCAGCCCCCGCGACCTCGGCGCCGCGGCAGCCGGCCTCGCCTGGGGCTGGCGTCGACAGCGAGTCAGCGCAGACGCCTCTGGCTCGGGCGTGGCCAGCGCGCCGCAGCCCTCGCGACGGGCCGCTCGCGAAGTTCCACTCGCTGCGGGGCCCGCGGGCGCCGGGCCGCAGGCCAGCCGCGGCAACGTGCGCCGCCGCGGCGCGAAGAGCGCCACAGACGCCTGGCGCCGAGGAACGGCCCTTGCCAAGAGCCAACGCAGACGACAGCGAATCGGATAGAAGCAAGTGGGGTTGCCCAGTGGCCTCGGTGGCCCTGCAGATATGTTTGGCCCCGAGCGCGATCGCCCAGCCCCCCCCCCCCCCCCCGCGACATTGCCGGGCGGAGCTCCCCGCTTGCGAGGTCCCGCGACAGCCCAACCAGGTTCGCGAAAAGATGGAGGCAAACGACCTGCGGCCAACTGGCGGGCCTCTAGGTTGCTCCCCCGCGCCGAGGATGCGCTGGAAGTCCTCGGGGCTCTCTAGAGGGGGCCTCGAATTCCCTGCCGGCGGCCCAGTGGTGATGCCTGCCCGAGCCCTCGACTGCACCTGCACGTCGCCCAAGAAACGCCGCCGCTCCGAGAAGACCCCCACCGAGCCCGCGAGCTTCTCATCGAAGTCCTTGCAGACCAGCCCAAAGCACCAGGAGGACGCGTCAGTGCACGTCACCTCAGAGCTCCAGGACACCTGCGTGATCCGAGAAATCATACTCTGCAAGCTCTTGAACGCGCCCAGCCCCCAACGGACGGAGCCCCAGATGGGGGGCCGCGGTGCAGTGGCGCAGCCGTCGGACAAAGGTAGACATCGACTTGAATATGGCAAGATGCTCGCGACCTAGAAGAGCAAAGAATGCACGATGCCCCAGCGCTTGTTCAACGTCTTTCGGGTTGACGACTTCCTTCTTTTCAAGAAATTGAATGTCGGGCGAGGTCGCCGCGGCCTCGATCTCTTCGGTTCGATTTCTCTCTGTCGGCCTCGGATTTCCCAGCCTAGGAATTCCGCGTCATGACCCCAATTGCTCACCTCATGGGTGGGGGGGCCCCTGCGCGTCAAGGCAGCGCTGCCTGCGCTGACAGCGCGGGCGACAGCCTTGGGATCGGTGCCAAAGGCCAAGGCATTATCAACACATGCAATAATAGCCAGCGGCTGCACTGGCGGCGCCGCGCACTTGTCCGAGATGAAAGGCACATCGCTCAGCTCAGGGATCGATGTCACGGTGCCCCTGTGGATGGTCGGGCGCAGGTGCAGCGCGCGCGACCAACCCATCGGGGGCGCCGCCAAGGCCGGCCAAACGCGAGTGCCTGGCCCCAGCTGCTGCCCGCCCGCGCCCGCGAGTCCCGCGTCGCCGGCCTTCGCCGACGGCAGGGCGACCTAGTCGCGGAAGACCTCGGGCAGGCCGAAGTGGTTGATGGCGTCGCAGATGTCCACGTGGCCCACGTGCAGCTGCCCCCCCTCTGGCACGGCCAGCTCTCCCATTGCTGAGCCAATTGCCGCGACACGGTGGCGGGCCGCCGGAACCAGCTATTAGCCCGGCGGCAACTGACCACCACGCGCTGCTTCCCAAGCTTCTTACGCGCGAAGAAGAGACCGCACCTGCCCCGATGGGGTCGCGCTGAAGGACGCCACGCCAGCAGCCTGGAGGCGCTTCACCAGGCCAACGTATGCGCGCGGGCTCGCTCTCAAGTTGGCGCCCACGCAGGGCTGTCGCGGCGCCTCCAGAAGATTGGTGCCCACCTTCTCGTTTGGAAGGGTCTGCCCATGCATTGTCGCCTCGGCGCCATAATCGCCCGCGCCCTGAGGTAGCTGCCCGAGCGGCGCGGGCGCATTGCCAGCCTCCGGCAGCGAAGCGAGGGGGTCGTCGAGGCCGACTACTGGCGAGTCGATGTCCTCGCACACGCCAACGCCGCGGAGCTCGCGGAGGGCCCCTGCGGGAGTTAGGACAGGGGGCGGGAGGCCCATCGCAGCGGCAGCGCGTCGAACGCGATCGCGCACCAAGCGATGGGGAAGCCGCTCCGCCAGGCCGGGCGCCAGGCGCCCTCGGCCTCCCGGCCAGATCATCGAGGGCCCCAATGACGCGGTTCGCCTCGGTCACCGCGGCGTCGCGCCGAAGCAGCCGTCGCCTCGCCGAGCGAGGGGCCGCGCCGTCGGAGGAGGCCTGGCCGCCCCGCAGCATCGGGACTGGGAAATGATCGCGACGGTCTGGAACGCGGTCGGCTCGAATTCGCCCAGGCACGCAAGCAGGAGGGCCCGCGGGCTCAATGGCCTCGAATGCCGGGGAGGAGGCGGCCACGCGCATACCTCCACCCCGTTGCGTCGCCATGACTTCCCTCCGCCGCCGCCCCCCTTGGGGCCCTTGCGGCGGAGCTCGCGCCCCTCCCGCACCTTCCTGATGTTCTTCATGGTGGCTGCGTCCTTTTCGACCTGGCCCTTCGCGAGCTCGAGGAGAGCTGGCGCCGCCGTCAGCAAGTCCCCTGCCGTGCTGAAGCCGCTGAAAACCGAGAACTCATCCGGGCCCATCTTGCCCTTCGAGCTCGCCGAGACTGCCTCGCCCAGCCGGTCGCGGCAGCACCGCTCGATCGTCCGGGCTCGGCGGAAGATGGCCTCAGCGAGCGCGAAGTTGCTCGAGTCGAGCTGGTCGTAGGTGCGGGCCAGCTCGATCCACTTCATGAGCTGCTCGTGCTCCTGGGCACCCCGCTGCCCTGACTGGGGCCGCGCCGTCGTCTTGAACATGGGGCGGCGGTCCGTCGGCGCGCGGCGGCGCCGTGACAAATCGAGAAACCACCGCGCCGACCGAGGCCCCGCCACTGGAAAATCCCCGAATGGCTCCCCCTCGCAGGCGCCCACCGCCTCGCGCCACTCGCGGCCGCGGCCGCGCGCCCCGCTCTTCGCCGCGAGCGCCCTGGCGTCTCCGCTGGCCCCGGAGGCGCCGGCCGAGAAGCTCGCAACGTCACCGCCGCGCAAGCTCGCCGCGAACGCCTCCTGGCCCAACCCCGTCTGGCGCACCGCCGCCGCGCGGCCTGGCCCAGCGCGGCGCAGGCCCTCGCCGCACAGCTCATGCGCCTGGGGCCCGAGCCCGTCGCCAACCACAATGCGGCTGGGCTCGTCCGACTCCGCCGCCCGCCAGACCAGGCCACTCGAGCGGGGAGTCGCCGTTCCTCTTATAGCTGCCGCGCCTCCTCCACCCCCGTCGGCTGCATCGCCGGCGTCAGCCAACGGCTCGCCGCCACCTCCCTCAGCGCCGGCGCCGGCGCCTGCGGGCGGTCGCTTGCCCACCAGGCGGCGCCCGCTGAAGAAGTTGGCCCCCGGCGCTTCCTCGACCGCGATGTCTCGGCCGAGAGAGTTCCTGATGGTCGAGGGGGGCTCCGCCACCGTGCCGCGCGACTCCACGTCCGCCAGCGCCGCCGAGCACGCCCTGCGGAACAGGCCGCGCATGTCCGCGTCACTCGGCGACGCCTCGAAGCGATCGGCGCGCCCGAGCCCCGCCGGCAAACGCAGATCCCGGGGCACCTCGAACCACTCCACGGGGCTGTCGTCAGGCGAGCCCCCCTCCAGCTCCTCAATGTACATGTCCATGTCCGGGCTGAGCACCACCCAGCAAGCCCCGCGACCGCCGCGCTCGGCGGCCTCACTGGCTACTGGGTAGAGCAGGATCCGCTCGCGCTAGAGGTCGTCCTCGGCGTAGCGGACCACCGCCCTGTAGCGTGGGATCACCCACGACGACGACGCCCTGGGGACCAGCGACATCGGGCCGACCTTGGGCGCCCTGCACCTGCGTCGCCAGCCGCCCGAAGCCGTAGCCCACGAGCAGCGCGATGATCGCCAGGCTTGCAGCGGCCGCCCAGCCGACGCAGCCCTCACCCGCCTCGCGAAGCGCACCCGCGAGCGCGTCGCACTGCGTTTCGGGAGCGCCTGCCAGCCAGAACGGCCCGCCTTTGCCGCCGCCCCGGCCAGGCGGCCCCGACTCGCCGAAGCCCTCCTAGCACGCGGGGCAGGGAAGGCAAGCAGGGCACGCAGGCGCGGTCGGGCAGCTCGGCAGCAACGCCCAGGAAGCCCCGGCGTGGAAACCCGCTCGGGTTACATCGCGGACGCCACACGCCCCAGCCTCCAAGAAAGGGCGGAGGGCTTCCTTCACGCCCTGGGAAAACACATGAGCAACGGGCCGCGCAGCGACAACGAGGGATTCAAACATGCGTGGAACACTGAACCACACACATATCCGCACGTGCACATACGCGCACTGTTTTGGCGGTCGCGGCCTCGAGGCGAAGCAACTCAAATCCAAACACACACACACACACACATCGCACACACATCACACACAAAACACACTCACCCACATCACGCACACACACACACACACACATCACACGCACATCACACGCACACATCACACACACACGCACACACACACACACACACACACGCACACACACACACACACATCACACACACACATCACACATCACACACACACACATCACACACACACACACGCGCGCGCTGACCAGGATGTGCGCCGCGACGAGAACGTAGGTCTCCGCGGCGAACAGGTACACGATCGAAGCCCCCCCGGCGCCCAAGCCAAGCCAGGCCGTCTCGACGGCGCGCAGCGCCGCTGCGCGGCCGGCGCAATCCGCGCCCAAGGCGCTCCGAACTCCACGTTCCTGTTCCTCGTTCTCGACATCGTCCTCTGTTCATCCTTTTTCCCTGGCAGCGCCGTCCTTCTTCATCGCGGCGACGTCGGACTGCCCCACATTGGGGTCCAGCGCTTCCTGCATCTCCTGGGCGTGCCGGGGAGTCAAGCGGCCCCATCACAGGGCCCGAGGGAAAGCGAATCAGAAGCTGGGCGGAGTCGCTGGAGAGGCACAGGAGGCGGGCGGATGGGGACTGGGAGGCCCGAAAAGCTCCAGATACCGATGAGGGGCTCCGAGAGGAGAGGGATCAGCATGGGGCCCCTCCTCCTCCTCCTCCTCCTCCTCCTCCTCCCTCTCCTCCTCCTCCTCCTGCTCCTCCTCCTATTCTATCGCGCGTCTTTCGAAGCAGGTCCCCCCTGTCGCATCCCGAGACGGGTCGGTAGGGCGGGGCAGGCGTGTCGTCCGAGGTTCCTCATAATTTTTGATTCTGAAGCTCGAAATTTGAAACAGTTGCATGCATGCAGGGCGGGTGATTTTCTAAACGTGGCTGTCGCATTACCGCCGCGCACATTCGTTGTATGGTGGGCGGGCCGTTTGAAAAATGTGGTTCTCGCCTTACCGCCGCGCAAAAATTCGCTCTAAACGTTTGCATTAATTTCAATGATGGAACTCGTTTTTTCAAGACATTGCTCTCGCCTTAGCGCCGCGCGCAATCGTCTTAACAGTTTGAAAGCCTTTTCACGAATCAAGGGCGGCTTATTTTCAAGCTGTGGCTCTTGCACTAGCGCCGCGCACATTCGTCTTAACTGTTTACGACCGAAGCACAGATTAGTATAGGTGACGCCCCAATCACTCCGACGGTAGGACCCCGCATGAGAATCTGTTTAGCTTACCCTTTGCCCTTTCCTCTTCCTCCTGGGGCTCCCGCCTGAGACTTCCCCGCAATTGACTCACTGACGAGGCTCCCGCTCGAGACTTCCTTCATATTCATATCTCAAGAGCCCAAAAGTGACGACAGTTGAACGTTGCGGATGACCCGCTCGAATTCAAACATGAAGTGCGGGCCCCATAGGGAGGGGGCTCCCGCCTGAGACTTCCTCACAATTCACTCACAGACGAGGCTCCCGCTCGAAACTTCCTCCATATTCAAATCTCAAGAGCCCAAAAATGACGACAATTGCACGTTGCGATGACCCGCTCGGATTCAAACATGAAGTGCGGGCCCCATAGGGAGGGGGTTCCCGCCTGAGACTTCCTCACAATTCACTCACAAACGAGGCTCCCGCTCGAAACTTCCTCCATATTCAAGTCTCAAGAGCCCAAAAGTGACGACAGTTGCACGTTGCGGATGACCCGCTCGGATTCAAACATGAAGTGCGGGCCCCATAGGGAGGGGGCTCCCGCCTGAGACCTCCTTGCAATTCACTCACAGACGAAGCTCCCGCTCGAGACTTCCTCCATATTCAAGTCTCAATTGCCCAAAAGTGACGACAGTTGCACGTTGCGGATGACCCGCTCGGATTCAAACATGAAGCGCGGGCCCCATAGGGAGGGGGTTCCCGCCTGAGACTTCCTCGCAATTCACTCACAGACGAAGCTCCCGCTCGAGACTTCCTCCATATTCATATCTCAAGAGCACAAAAATGACGACAGTTGCACGTTGCGGATGACCCGCTCGGATTCAAACATGAAGTTCAGGCCCCATAGGGAGAGGGCTTCCGCCTGAGACTTCCTCACAATTCACTTACAGACGAGGCTCCCGCTCGAGACTTCCTCCATATTCAAGTCTCAAGAGCCCGACAGGTCCGCCGCGCCCGCAGAAAAGGCCGCGCCAGTGTTTGGGGCCTTGGAATCAAGTGGTGACGCAACCAGGGCTCCCTGTGGGCATTTCTTTTCCGATGTGTCGCCCCCTCTCTCCCCTCTCCCGCCCCCCCTGATACTCCTCCCCCTCTCGCTCCTCCTGCTCCTCCTCTTCTTCTTCTTACCTAGTACCATTATCATGTGTATTAGTCTTAGTGCTATCACTATCCATATTAAATTTTTTATTATTCGCCGTAGTATTATTAGCATTAGTATTCGCAATATTGTTATTCTTACTTTTGGTATTCGTATTAGTATTTCTCTTCATCATCACCATCATCATCACCATCACCATCACCATCACCATCACCATCACCATCACCATCACCATCGCCATCATCATCATCATCATCATCATCATCATCATCATCATCATCATCATCATCATCATCATCAGCATCAGCATCAGCATCAGCATCAGCATCAGCATCAGCATCAACATCATCATCATCATCATCATCATCATCATCATCATCATCATCATCATCATCATCATCATCATCCGCCTCCTCCTCCGCCTCCTCCTGCTCATTCCCCCCCCCCTGTTTGTGCAAGAGCCATGGCACGCGGGGCACTTGTTTTCTCGGCTGGATCGGCCAAACTGGTTCAGCATGTACACCGCGGATGTGCATCGTTCGGCCTGGATTGTTCCGCCTGGTCGCCGCGAATGATGTGTCATGTTCGGCCTGGGGGCTCGGCCCGGTTGCCGAGGATTCAATTCAGATTTGCCACCGCGGCCTCGGCGCCTCAGATTTGCTGGTTCAGCCTGCCTGTCTCGGCATGGTTACAACAGATTGGCCTCGTTCGGCCTGGTTGGACTTGTTTGGGCTCCGCTGGTCCGCGTTCTTGCTTTCTTGCCCACGCACTGATCCCGTTGCTTTCCTGGGCTAAGCGCGCCGCAGGTCGGAGCGCGCAGATGGCCAGCCTGCCTCCCCCTGGAGCGTCGCGCGCGACATGCGACCCCGCCCGCCCGCCCAGTTCCCCCGCGCGCTCCCCCCCCGTAAATTCTTGGCCGCGCGTCCAGATCTCAGCATCGTTCGTCGACTCATCACTTGCAGCCCGACGAGAGGCCGGCCACTGTTTCACCGAGTCCCTTATCACATGCGGCTGCAACCCGAAGTATACGATTATTGCGTTTGTTCCGCGACCGCAGAGAACAGGGGGCGGGCGCCCCCAGCGCGAATCCAGCTCAAGTGAAGAAACAGTTTGGGCTGCGGCAACTTCAACAAACAATGGACACCAATTAACCTCCAGGAGAAGGAGGAGCGGTGAGGGGGAGCGTGCGCGGACGAGGATGGGTGAGCAGGCAGACGGGGAACGACGGCGATCAGCAGAGGGCGAAAACGGTACAGAGGGAGGAGGACCGCTCCCTCCGCTGGCTGGCGCCAGCATGGTTTCGGGCCTGGGACCATCAAAACTCGTCCGGCTCGAAACGTGTAGCGGAGAGAGATGATGGGGTCCACTGCGCCAGTCGTGTTTTTGTTTGCGGTGCTGCAGTTCTAGTTCTCAGGAGCGCCAGATCTCATGAAGAGGACGGCGATGAGCAGGAGGACGAACGCGGCACAGCGGGAGGCGGACGGCTCTCTCCGATGGCTGACGCGCTGGCGCGCGACGGGGAGCACGAGCCCCGCGCAGCGCCAGCGGCCCGACCGACCGCAGGCACCGATGATGAGCAGAACGAGATGGACGAGGATGCTGACTAGGGACGGGGGGCGGGGAGGAAGGGAGGAACGAGGGAGGAGCAGCACGATGGCGAGGGGGAGCGTCGTAAAGGGGGAGGGAAGGGAGTAGGAGGAGGAGCAGGAGGAGCAGGAGGAGGAGGAATAGCATGCGTGTGCGCAGACAGGAACATCAAGGCGGCGGGGAAGGTGGATCATCTGCGCACGGTGCGGGGCCCACGCTGCCGAGCAGCTGGCCCTCCAGCAAGATCGCGCCAACTTGCACTGCGCAAAAGACGCGCCTGGGCACTGCCGTCCTGGGCCCCGGCATGGCAATGGAAGGCTGGGCAGAGCAGAACAGTCTCGCATGTGGGCACTTACGCTTCGGGGCTCCGAAAGCGTGTGGTGACGGACCGCGTGGTGACCTCGGAATCCTCAACGGCCTCACCGCGCAATCCGTCACCGCACGGTTTTGAAAGCTCGGAGGCCCCAGTCGCCCGAAACGTCCTCGGATGACGACCCGAATGCAAAAACCGCGCGGTGACTTGGACTCCACACTGGTTCGCCACCCGATGTGGTCACGACGCCGCGTGGTGGCCCCCGAGACGCGGGTGCAGCGGGTGGGCCGCAGAGCGACGGTACGAGATGAGAACGTAGGCGGGGAGGGCTGGCCGCTCAGTAGTTGGAATCGGTGCCGTGGAGGGCCCCTGACACGGTGGGCAAATGGTCCGACGTGGCTGCAAGCATGGGCCGGGGTCGAGCCGCGGGGGCCAGAATCGGAAAGGAGGCCGGAGTGGACCCTGACACGGTGTAAGGCTGCCTTCCCTGGGTCGCCTGGCTTCGTGTATCGCACCCCGCGCGGTCTGGGGCAGGATCAGTCAGCATCGAATCGAGACATCGGATCGGAACGTGCGTCGGATCAGAATCAGCGGCAGCGACGTCGCTGTCGCAGCGGATCGGGCTGGCCAGAATCGATATCACTCGGCTTCCGAATCAAAGTCGGGGTCCCGGCGGCCCTTCTGGACGATTCGGGCAGCCCTACAACGCACTCGGCGAAGCGCTGCTGCTGCAACGTATCCCGAGGCAGGAACACCCACAATAACCTGCGAACACGCACGGAAACCTCAAAGCTCGAACCTTGCATCGGATCGATCGGGTCGAAAAGGGGCTGGCGACGGCGGGATCTCCTTCTCAAGGGTGATCTTCCGCTCCCAGAGGAGGGCCTGTCGCTCGGCCTCCAGGACTTCCTGCGTGGCGTGCCCGGGAGAATGGGGTGGACGCGCGAGAGAGTCTGGTCCCGGGTGCGCCCTCCATCGTCTGTTTTCACCCTGGCCCTCCTCCCCTTTTTATCCTCGCCCTCCTTTTCCATGACGTTTACTCCGCCTCCTTCTCCCCGTCCCCCTGCGGCTGCTGCTCCGCCTGCTGCTGATCCCCCTTCTCCACAAATGGTCAATCTGGCTACTGCTCCACTGCCTCCTCCGTCAAACCTTACGCGTGGCATCCGGAGAAACAGGCTTGGCACGCTTTACAAGGGATGTATTGAATAACGTGCAGGTCCGAGGGACAACTGCGTCAGACCAGACATGCGTCTCAAGATGGCACCAGATAATTCCAATGCACTCTGGGTGGGTGGCTCCACGTTTGGGGGTCCGGAAGAAAGGTGCAATCGCCTATTCCTCTCTCTCCGCCTCAACCGCCAATCCTCGCGCAGGTCCGACATAGTCCGAAACAGACAGGCAGATGTGCAATTCCGACGGACAACTTCGTCAAATAATGCGCATGGTACCCAGAGGCACCAGCTTGGCACGCTTCACAAAGGATATATGGAAGAGTGCGCAGGTCCGAAAAACAATTCGTCAACTCATCCTGTGAACGTCCCAAAACAAATCCGGCAACACTTTCGCAAATCGCAGCCACACGGGGATGGCGAGGTCGAATCTGCATCCGGGCGTAGCGCCTCTGCGCTGGAGCCCACAGCAGCCCTCAAAAGTGGCGACAATCTCGTGGATCGCAGCCACACAGGGATGGCGAGGTCGATTCTGCATCTGCGTAGCACGTCACTCCGCTGACTCCCCAGTAGCCCTCGACAGTGCCGACAATTTCGCAGATCACAGCCCGACGCGGATGGCGAGCTCTAGTTTGAAGCTCCGTAGCACGCCACTCTGCTGGACCCCCCAGCAGCACTCGAAAATGGCGACAGCGACAGTTTCGCAGATCGCAGCCCCACGGGGATGGCGAGGTCGAATCTGCATCTGCGTAGCACGTCACTCCGCTGGACCCCACAGCAGTTCCCGAAAGTGGCGACAGTCTCGCAGATCGCAGCCCCACGGGGATGGCGAGATCTAATCTGCATCTGCGTAGCCCGTCACTCCGCCCGACCCCCAGCAGCTCTCAAAAGTGATGACAGTTTCGCAGATCGCAGCCCCACAGGGACGGCGAGGTATAATCTGAATCTGCGTAGCACGTCACTCCGCTGAACTCCCCAGCAGGACTCAAAAGTGGCGACAAGTTCGCGGATCGTATCCACACACGGATGGTAAAACCTAATCTGAATCTGCATAGCACGTCACGCCGCTGTACAACCTACCAGCCCTCGAAAGTGGCGACAGTTTCGCAGATCGCAGCCCCACGGGGATGGCGAGATCTAATCTGAATCTGCGTAGCCCGTCACTCCGATGGAAAACCCAGCAGCACTCGAAAGTGGCGACAATTTCGCAGATCGCAGCCCCACATGGGATGGCGAGGTCGAATCTGAACATACGAAGCACGTCACGCCGCTGTACCCCCTAGCAACCCTCGAAAGTAGCGACAAATTCAAATATCGCAGCCCGACGCGGAAGGCGAGCTCTAGTTTGAAGCTGCGTGGCACGTCCCTCCGCTGGACCTCCCAGCAGGACTGACATGTGGCGACAATCTCGTGGATCGCAGCCACACAGGGATGGCGAGGTAGATTCTGCATCTGCGTAGCACGTCACTCCGCTGACTCCCCAGTAGTTCTCGACAGTGGCGACAATTTCGCAGATCACAGCCCGACGCGGATGGCGAGCTCTAGTTTGAAGCTGCGTAGCACGCCACTCTGCTGGACCCCCCACGCAAGACTCGAAAATGGCGACAACGACAGTTTCGCAGATCGCAGCCCCACGGGGATGGCGAAGTCGAATCTGCATCTGCGTAGCACGTCACTCCGCTAGACCCCCCAGCGGTCCCCGAAAGTGGCGACAGTTTCGCAGATCGCAGCCCCACGGGGATGGCGAGGTCACCTCTGCATCTGCGTAGCACGTCACTCCGCTGAACTCCCCAGCAGCCCTCGGAAGTGGAGACACTTTCGCAGATCACAGCGCCACAGGGATGACGAGGTAAAATTTGATTGTGCGTAGCACACCAGACTGCTGACCCCCCAGCAGCACTCGAAAGTGGCGACGACTACAGTTTCGCAGATCGCAGCCCCACGGGGATGGCGAAGTCGAATCTGCATCTGCGTAGCACGTCACTCCGCTAGACCCCCCAGCGGTCCCCGAAAGTGGCGACAGTTTCGCAGATCGCAGCCCCACGGGGATGGCGAGGTCACATCTGCATCTGCGTAGCACGTCACTCCGCTGAACTCCCCAGCAGCCCTCGGAAGTGGAGACACTTTCGCAGATCACAGCGCCACAGGGATGACGAGGTAAAATTTGATTGCGTGCGTAGCACACCACACTGCTGACCCCCCAGCAGCACTCGAAAGTGGCGACGACGACAGTTTCGCAGATCGCAGCCCCACGGGGATGGCGAAGTCGAATCTGCATCTGCGTAGCACGTCACTCCGCTAGACCCCCCAGCGGTCCCCGAAAGTGGCGACAGTTTCGCAGATCGCAGCCCCACGGGGATGGCGATGTCACATCTGCATCTGCGTAGCACGTCACTCCGCTGAACTCCCCAGCAGCCCTCGGAAGTGGAGACACTTTCGCAGATCACAGCGCCACAGGGATGACGAGGTAAAATTTGATTGTGCGTAGCACACCACACTGCTGACCCCCCAGCAGCACTCGAAAGTGGCGACGACTCCGCAGATCGCAGCCCCACACGGATGGCGAAGTCTGATCTGAATCTGCATAGCACGTCACTCCGCTGGACCCCCCAGCAGCCCTCGAAAGTGGCGATAATTTCGCAGATCGCAGCAATACGGGGATGGTGAGGTCAAATCTGAATTTGCGTAGCAGGTCACTTTGCCAGACCCCCCAGCAGGACTCGAAAGTGGCGACACTTTCACAGATCGCAGCCCCACGGGGATAGCGGTCGAATCTGAATCTGCGTATAGCAGCACGTCACTCCGCTGGACCCCCCAGCAACCGTCGAAACTGGCGACGGCTTCGCAGATCGCCTCCCCCCCACCCACCGAGCATCCGGGCAGGACAGCGAGATAGGAGGCAGAGTAGGAGGCAGGAGTAGTAAGAGGCAGGAGAGAAGAGGCAGGAAGGAGGGAGGCGGGAGAAGGAAGATGGAGACCACAGTGCTCTATTCAAAACGAGTACCCAACGCAGGAGAGTTGGGACAACATATCGAGCAACGAAATGGGAGCCCCCTTCCACACGTGTGGCCCTGCGGCATCGCAAGTTTGGCGCAGAACTCTAACAGTGGCTGCTCAATGGTCAGAAACGGCTGCGTCTTGATTACCTGCCGATGCTTCGGTAGTTCCGTTTCACGGGGGAGACGGTTCGAGTCAGCATCGGTACGAGCCAAACAGAGAGCCAACCAGAAAAGCAATGCCATGTGCAAACGATATGCTGTCTGTGTCCTCCTCAGAGGCCTGCAACCATTCGGCCGCCGCAGAGCCAACAACTTCACTCGTCAGACGAACGGTCCGCTCCAACGGCTCATGCTCTCTCAATTCGGACTTCTACGAGCACGATTCACGCCATCAACACAAAAAAACACAGAATCTCTCGAACATCATGCCGCACATCCATGTGCGACTTGAGATCCATGAATCTCTGGATCTCGCAGAATTTTCCCGGGACGTACGATGAACCGGCGACGAAGTATTCGCTGGTAGCGCGGAGAGCTGCTTCCAGGAACTCCAGGATACTCAACGCCTCATATTCGGACGGATTGACGTCAGCGAGTTGCGTGCCTAACTCTTCAGTACGTGCGGCGCTCTCGCTTGGACGAAGACGCAGGGCCGATCGGCGCGGTCCCCCGCCCCCCCCTCCCCATAGACAAGATCTTGGCTGCTTTTAGCGGCTGCTTTGGGCGACTGGTCGGGACCCCCCTCCCAGTGTGCTTGCGCGACTGGTGAAGGCTGATCGACTAAGCACCCACCCAGACCCAGACCCCGGCACCCTCCTCCAACCTTCGGCCACATGTCGAAACCCAGCACCATAAAACGCTCACATGGAGGGGCATGATCCTGGGCCATCTGGGCCTTGTCTTCCTTGATGTGCTCAACCATCCTCTCCACCTCGAGGCACTGCTTCTCCTTTTCCTGCACGCAAGCGCCCGCGCGCAGGGGGGGGCTGCCAGTATCGTCGACAGCCTGCTCCTCCTTCGCCCTTCTGCTGCTGCTTCCCTCCTCCTCGCTACTCCGTTCCCCTGCTGTCTCCTGCTGCTGCCTCTGCTCTCTCGCTCCCCCTATCCATCCTCCTCGTCCTCTTTGTCCTCCTACTCTCTCTTTCTCAACACTCCTTCTCCCCTCCTCCCTCCCTTACTCTCACACCTCCTCCTCCCTTCTTGTCTATCAGAATACCTCGGTCTCCCTCCTCCTCCTCCTCCTCTTTCGGCTCTGCATTGCTGCTCCTTCTCCCCTTCATCGCTCCTCTTTCTCTTCCGCCCTCACCCTCCTGAGACACCCCCTCCTCTGTTCGCTCGTCACTGCTGCTCCTTATTCCCCTCATCTCTCCTCCTCCTCCACTCTCTCCTCCTCCTCCTCTATCGTCCTGAATCGTCCTCATCCTCCCCTCCTGCTGCTGCATCTCCTCCTCCTCGTCCTCTATCCAGCTCATCATCCTGACCTGTCCCTTCTCCTCCTCCTCCTCCTCCTCCTCCTCCTCCTCCTCCTCCTCTCATCCCTCCTCCTCCTCCTCCTCCTCCTCCTCCTCCTCCTCCTCCTCCTCCTCCTCCTCCTCCTCCTCCTCCTCTCCCTCCCCCCAACCTGCTCCTCTAGCTGTGCCCCAGCCCTCGTGGAGTGGGGAAGAGGGAGGAATGAGCGAGGGAGAAGGGGAGAGAGGGTAGGAAGGGAGGGCATGGAGGGAACGTGGGACGAGGACGGGCACGCAGAAGGGAGAGAGAAGGCAAAGGCAGGACGAAGATCACATCGGGTGCGGATGAATCGAATCTCTGAGATCCGGCGGCTCCGGAGGATGTCTTTGGAACCGCGGCCTTCTCAAAGCGTTCTGGAACGCTCTGAGAGCGTTCCAGATGGCTCCAAAACGGATATATCCTCATCCTAGCCCCGCCTGAAGACCAAGGAGACATCAGACTCGGGTTCGAGGGACTCGAGTTGGCCTCATGGGACCATCATAAAAATGACGAGGCCCAATCTGAAATTTGACGTGAAATCCCGCTGCAAACATCCCACGGAAACTGGACCGTCAAAATACAGGACGCGCTCGTCAAAAGGCGTCGGCAAACCCGAGTCCCGGCGTATTCCAGTCTGACGCTTCCCCGAGAAGAGAGGCAGGGCGCAGGTGGTGGGAGTAACGAGGGACGCCCGGTTGCCCCGCTGTGGCCGCCGCAACAGCCCCAACGCTGCCGCAGCTGCTTGCCGCCGCCAGCGTCTTCCGCGACCACCGTCGTCACCACCACTGACATGGGCATCGTCAAGTAGGCAGACAACATGCATACACGTACACGTTTGATGATCCGCGCGGATCGTCTAAGCTTTACGATTATGTCGCTTGCCTTTTCCGAACGCATACGTAATGCCCTCCATCAACAATACCATTATCTGCAACATCGTTGCATCCGCCATCATAACCATTATCGTCGTCGTCGAGATAACAATAACATGTACCCACCGTTCGGAAGAAGCTGGTGGAATCATGAAGTAGGAAGACGCTGAAAGTAAGTTGGGTCTCGGCCCGGATCCCTGAAGAGGAGGAAGGAACAGGGAAACATTCCGACGCCTCAAGCAAGAAGGCGCCTGACATAGATTTGAAACTGGGAATCCATGATGTATACATTCAATGACCCATGACGATAATTCATCTACGTGTCGTCATCGTGGCTGTCACGGTCATCGCTGTCACCGTGGTCACCGTCGCTGCCGCCCGCCGCCACCACAAGAAAGGTGGCCGCTGCACCCAAGATCATCGTTTGCGCTTTCGGTGCAGGAATTTTCTCATTGCCGAGCTGCCCCTCCTACCCCCGAGTATGTGGAGGGCAGCAGGACGGGGAGGATGGGGGAAGGGGGAGAATGAGGAAGACGAGGGCGACGCGGACGGGCCTTGAGCTTGTTCACGAACTCGGTCTCCATCATCCTGTTAGCGTTAGCGAGCTCCTGTGCATTCAGCGCGTCGATTCTCCGTCACCTCCTCCTCCTCCTCCTTCTCCTCCTCGGCCTCTGCCTCCGCCTTCGTCTCATCCACTTCATTCGCAATCAGAACATCGGCGCGAGGTCCTTGGACTTGCTGTCGTTGTTCACGATCGCTCCGTTCATCTTGTCCATGTCGAAGCGAAGGTGCTTCATCTGGCCCCCGCCCGCTCCATCTCCTCGGTGCTCTCCGATTCGACTGCCAAGCCCCTCTTCGAAGTCTTCCCAAAAGACCAGCGAAATGATGATGAGGAGCAGGAAACACCGTCCCCTCCCCCTCTAGGTTGAGGAGGGCGAGGATGAGGAGACGAGGATAAGTACGATGATCAGAGCGATGAGGACGAGAGCAAAGATGACGAGGGGGAAGACAAGGACGAGGGGGAGGATGAGGACACCGATGAGGGAGAACACCATCGCCTCCTGTCACATCGCCCCCCACCCCCTTGTTGCTGACCGCGTCCACATCGGGACCGCGCCTTCCCCCATCCTCGTCCTCCTACTCCCCTCATCCTGCTCCTCCTCTATCTCATGTATCTCCTTATTCTTTCACTTGCCCTGTCCATGCACGCAAGCTTAACGCCCCAAGGCTCCCAAAAGACCCACAAGAAACCCTAAGAGGCTCTCCCGAGACACCCCAGACGCTCCACGAGGCCCCCCGAGAGACACCCAAGAGGTTTATGGCCTTTTTGCTCCTCCTCATCCTCCTCCTCGTCCTCATCTGATTGTTCCTCCTCCTCCCGCCTTCTCTTTTCCCTTCTTCTCCTTCGATTCCTCGTCCATCCTCCCCCCCTTGGGGTGCGGCGGCTTCCCCTGCCCATTATTCGACCGCATGCTCCTCCACATCCCTGATCAGAACAATCCGCCTTTCTGTTGAATTTGATTGCCTTGCTGCCATCGCAAACGGAAGCAAGAGGACCATAGGCGAGCCAATAAGGTACATATAGGTTCTCTCGGAGGTCTACCAGGAAGCTTCTATATAAGTTGTATCAGCCAGGGGTGCTGGCTGTGGGGTCCTGGGGCCACCAAATCACTGGACTTTCCCCCACCAACTGCAACAATTTCGGGGGGCAAGCCGCCCAATGTTCGGGATGCCCGGGATGGCGGGTCCCTGGGAATGCACTAAAACGGACCTGTCGTTGATTTGTTTCACTAGAGAAGACCCAAATGGTTCGTATGCTTCACAGGCAACTTGCGAATGATCATTTGACATGGCAGGAACCTGCGCCCCATGAGCGCATGAGAATTTCTAGAGTGTGGCCAATCACTACCGCTCGTTTGCAGTAACCGCCTGCGAACTGCCGGTGGAAACGAATGCAAGGACCTGTGAGTGCCACCGTTGCAATGTTGCTTGACCCTCGACGCACCCCAACCTCGCCTTGGTTGTTGAGATGGATTTGGTTTCGCCTTGTACCTCGATTCCCAGGACATCGTGTTTCACTTGTGGTAAGCCAGGTCACTTGTTCCAACTGTGTGTGGGGAGAGGCCGCTGGCCATTACCTGGGGGGAGGGGTGCACCCCGCTGCTGACGTTACTCTTCCCCAGAGAGTCATCAAAAAAATTGGGCGTGATTTGGGTGGAGTCCCAGGTCATGTTGAGGAGCACCGCAATGGGTGGATATTGGACGGAGTCTCGCCTGTTCGGGGGGGGGATGCAGCCAGTCAATTGTGCCCGAGGTGTGGGGCCGAGGGGTGACACCAATTTTGATGTTTACCTAACAGCGAGAACTGATAGGTTTCTACTGGTCTCAAAAATGAGCATCATGACTCCCCAGGGGGGTCTGGACAGATGCCGGACGATGCCGGACGGGTGCCGCGGGAATCCGGGGACTCCTTTTTTAGCCAACAGTAACGCACTTCGTGGTCTTCGAATTCCCAGAACTCCATTCCTGGGCATGATCTTGAATGCCCTGAGCCAACTGTAGGCCACTTCGTGGTCTTCGAGCTCCCAGAACTCCATTCCTGGGCATGATTTTGAATGCCCGGAGCCAACTGTAGGCCACTTCGTGGTCTTCGAGCTCCCAGAACTCCATTCCTGGGCATGATTTTGAATGCCCGGAGCCAACTGTAGGCCACTTCGTGTTTTTCGAGTTCCAAGAACTTCATTCCGGGCCACTGAGGCTTGATGCTGAATGAGGCTGAGGCAGGCTGATGCTGCTGAGGCAGGCTGAGGCAGGCTGAGGCTGAGGCAGGCTGAGGCTGAGGCCGAGGCTGAAGGCAGACTGAGGCTGAGGCTGAAGCAGGCTGAGGCTGAGGCTGAGGCAGGCTGAGGCTGAGGCTGAGGCAGGCTGATGCTGAGGCAGGCTGAGGCCTGAGGCTGATGCAGGCAGGCTGAGGCTGAGGCTGAGGCGAGGCTGAGGCTGAGGCTGAAGCAGGCTGAGGCTGAGGCTGCAGGCTGAGGCTGAGGCTGAGGCTGAGGCAGGCTGAGGCTGAGGCTGAGGCTGATGCAGGCTGAGGCTGAGGCAGGCTGAGGCTGAGGCCGAGGCTGAAGGCAGACTGAGGCTGAGGCTGAAGCAGGCTGAGGCTGAGGCTGAGGCTGAGGCAGGCTGAGGCTGAGGCTGAGGCAGGCTGATGCTGAGGCAGGCTGAGGCTGAGGCTGAGGCTGATGCAGGCTGAGGCTGAGGCAGGCTGAGGCTGAGGCCGAGGCTGAAGGCTGAGAGGCTGAGGCTGAGGCTGAGGCTGAGGCAGGCTGAGGCTGAGGCAGGCTGAGGCTGAGGCTGAGGCTGAGGCAGGCTGAGGCTGAGGCCGAGGCTGAAGGCAGACTGAGGCTGAGGCTGAAGCAGGCTGAGGCTGAGGCTGAGGCAGGCTGAGGCTGAGGCTGAGGCAGGCTGATGCTGAGGCAGGCTGAGGCTGAGGCTGATGCAGGCTGAGGCTGCAGGCTGAGGCTGAGGCGAGGCTGAAGGCAGACTGAGGCTGAGGCTGCAGGCTGAGGCTGAGGCTGAGGCAGGCTGAGGCTGAGGCTGAGGCTGAGGCTGACTGAGGCAGGCTGAGGCTGAGGCTGAGGCTGAGGCAGGCTGAGGCAGGCTGAGGCTGAGGCTGAGGCTGATGCAGGCTGAGGCTGAGGCTGAGGCTGACTGAGGCTGAGGCTGCAGGCTGAGGCTGAGGCTGAGGCTGAGGCTGAGGCGCTGAGGCTGAGGCTGAGGCTGAGGCTGAGGCTGAGGCTGCTGAGGCTGAGGCTGAGGCTGAGGCAGGCTGAGGCTGAGGCAGGCTGAGGCTGAGAAGGCTGAGGCTGCTGAGGCTGAGGCTGAGGCTGAGGCTGAGGCTGAAGCAGGCTGAGGCTGAGGCTGAGGCAGGCTGAGGCTGAGGCTGAGGCAGGCTGAGGCTGAGGCTGTGACTGCGACTGCCGTTGCCACTGCGACTGTCATCGCGAATGCGACTACGACAGCGAGAACAGCAGAATTCTACAACTGGATTCTCATCTGAATATTAAGGGGAATGCTTTCAGATATGCTCCTACACATCGCTGTTAGGTTGCTTTGCCGGGATAATGAAGTGCTACGAGAACGACGAGATTGAAAGTGCCGCTGCCCAGGCCCCAGGTCCTCTTGCCCCCACTGCGATCGCAGAACAACATACCCTCCCCGCTTTGTGGTGTAGGGAGGGGGTGAACGTCCCTTGACCAAGCAGTGAGCGGTGTCTCGCCCCGCCCCCCCAAACCTTGCACTGACAATGCGTTATTAAAGCTCTCCAAGGGGCCACTGTTCTCCAAGGCGGGGTTTGAGGGACCGATGCGTCGGGGGAAAAGGATATACGGACTAGAGACTTGCGTTGCGGGTGGGGGTGCGTGATGCTGCACCCGACCGAGACTGAACTTGCTGGCGGTGTTTGGCACCTTCCCGGTGATTGTCCAGAGTTCTTTCAGATCCGAGCTGGTTACCCTTTTGGTGGTCCTGGCGATCACAAGGGGTAACGTGTTGATCTTCACCGACTGCCTGCCTGTCGTGGGCAACTTTTGGACAATCCAGAAGCAGATCTTGAGGTCAACGAGTTCCATGTCGGATGTCTGGAAATGCATCTGGGATGGACTGGGCACCCACACAGGACAAGTTGGCACTCGTTGAACGAAGTCCCACCCGACCAAAGCCCAGACACATCGACCGTCGAGCTCCGTTTGAACAGAGCTGCGGACAGGTGTTCTAATGAAGGTGCGCGTCGAGGCCAGGTTCCCTCCGATGAAGCAGAGAGGGTCCACCAGGCTGATCAGCTACGGGAACAAGTGTTGCTGCGCTTGCTTGATATTCATATTCCATTTGTCTTATGTGGGCTGGACATGATGTTATTGAAAGAAACACTATGCTCAAATGCATTCGGTGCCACCAACATGTTCTGAAGAGGGGTCATTGAGCAATTTCTGCCCTGCTACGTGTGTACCTCTGCCCTCTGTCTCTCTCGCCGCGTGGTAGGAAAGACCCGACGACCCGCAAGAGAGGCGATCCAAGCCACCTGTTGTCATCGGCGAACTGCAAGAGAGCCCGGAGCCCCTGAAACATCCGCTTTCTCTGGTGCGCATGAACACCACTCTCTTGCTGTCCAGAGGGGTACAATGTTTTATACTACGTGTGTAGCCAATGGTGTTGACAATCCTCGGAAGTTGAAGGGTCTGTGCTGTCCCCCTACTGCCAAAGGGCTTGATCTCGATCCAGGTCAACCCGAGGACTCCTCCCCACAGTATGGGATCGTCGTCCCTGTTCGGAATGTATGCCTGTGAATGCGCCCACATGATCACCGCAACCGCAACCGAAAATCATCCCTGCTCCTGCTCCATCCTCCACCTCTCCTCCTCCTCCTCCTCCTCCTCTTCCTCCTCCTCCTCGTCCTCCTCCTCCTCCTGCTCCTCCTCCCCCTCCTCGTTCTACCTCCCTTCCTCCGCCTCCTCCTCCTCTTTCTCCTCATCTTTCTCCTCCTCCTCCCTCGTCCTCGTCCTGTTACGCCCCCCCCTCCCTCAACATCATCCCTTCCCTGGGCGGTCCCCGCAACGCCGTCATGCCTCCCGAAGGGGAACGTTCGAGGGGGGGACTGGCTCAGGGGCTGCCCTGGTGGCTCATGGCGCCCTTCGCCATTGGGAGCCTTGCCGTTAAGAAATAGTTACGTCACCGCTCTCTGTTGGGAGCCCTGATGTCCAGAGACTTGTACGTTGCCACCCATTGCTGGGCCTTGGTGTCAGGAGTTTGTTGCGTCACCGCTCGTTCTTGGGAACTTGGCTGGTAAGCGCGTGTTACGTCGCCGCTCTCTGTTGGGAGCTTTGCTGGGAAGAGCTTGTTGCGGCACCGCTCTCTGTCCAGTCCTCGTGCCCAAGGATGCGTACGTTGCCGCTCGCTGTTGGAAGCCTTGGTGGTAAGAACTTGTTGCGTCACCGCTCGCTCTTGGGAGCCTTGCTGGTGGGCGCGTCCAACGTCACCGCTCTCAGTTGGGAGCCTTGCTCCCCCTCCTCTTTTCTAGTATTATGATTGTTACTGTCCTCCTCCTCCTCCTCCTCCTCCTCCTCTGACTCATCCTCTGCCGCCTCCGCCTCCCACTTTCTCCTCTTCCTCCTGCTCCTCCAACTCCTCCTGACACCTCCTCCTCCTACTCCGCATCCTTCTCTTCCTCCTCGTCCTCCTCCTCCTCCACCTCCCTCCACCTCCCTCCTCCTCTTCCTCCTCGTCCTCCACCCCCTTCTCCTCCTCCTCCTCCTCCTCATCCTCCTCATCCTCCTCCTCATCCCCCGTCCTCGTCCTTTTCCTCCACCTCCTTCTCGTCTTTATCTTCCTCCTTCTCCTCTCCCGTCCTCGTCCTCCCCCCTTCCGCGTTCTCCTCCTCGTCTTTCTCCTCCTCATCCCCTCCTCCTCCTCTTTCTCGTCCTCCTCATTCTCCTCCACCTCCTCTCCACCTCCTCCTCTTCCTCCTCCCCCTCCTCCTCCTACTCCTCCTCCTCCGCCTCCTCCTCCTCCTCCCTCGTCCTCGTCCTCTGCCTCCACCTCCTTCTTGTCTTTCTCTTCCTTTTTCTCAAACCCGTCCTCGTCCTCCTCCCTTCCTCTTTCTCGTCCTCATCTTTCTCCTCCTCATCCCCTCCTCCTCCTCTTTCTCGTCCTCATCGTTCTCCTCCTCCTCCTCCTCCGCCTCCTCCTCCTCCTTATACCTCCCGTCCTCCGCCTCCTCCTCCTCCTCGTCCTCCTCCTCTTTCTCCTCCTCCTCCTCCTCCTCCTCCTCCTCCTTTCGCCTCGCCCTCGTTCCTCCCTCTCCCCCTCCCTCTCCCAATCCTCCTCCTCCTCCTCTTCTCCTCCTCCTCCTCTTCCCCCTCCTCCTCCTCCTCCTCCTCCTCCTCCTCCTCCTCCTCCTCCCTCTCCCTCTCCCCCCTTCCTCCTCCTCCTCCTCCCCTCCTCCTCCTCTCCTCCTCCTCCGCCTCCTCCTCCTCCTCCTCCTCCTCCTCCTCCTCCCCCTCCTCCTCCTTCTCCTCCTCCTCCTCCTTCTCCTCCTGCTCCTCTTTCTCCTCCTCCTCCCTCTCCTCCTCCTTCCCTCCTCCTCCTCCTCCTCCTCCTCCTCCTCCTCCTCCTCCCTCTCCCTCTCCCCCTCTTCCTCCTCCTCCTCCTCCTCCTCCTCCTCCTCCTCCTCCTCCTCCTCCTCCTCCTCCTCCTCTCCTCCTCCTCCCCCTCCTCCTCCTTCTCCTCCTCCTCCTCCTTCTCCTCCTGCTCCTCTTTCTCCTCCTCCTCTCCTCCTCCTCCCCTCCTCCTCCTCCTCCTCCTCCTCCTCCTCCTCCTCCTCCTCCTCCTGGAGCCCGCTTGCGAAGCTCTCGGGGCCCTCTTGGGGCTCTTTTGGGACCGTCTGGGGGCCCTCTTGGGCCGTCTTGGGGCCCTCTTAGGCCGTCTGGGGGCCCTCTTGGACCGTTTTCGATGCCTTTGCGGGGCCTCGGGGGCCGTCTTGGGACGACCTTTGGGGCCTCTTGGGCCGTTGTGCGCCCGTCTGGGGGCCCTCTTGGCCCGTTTTGGGGCCCTCTCTGGACCGTCTTGGGGCGCTGGGGCCGCTTCACCCGAAAAAGATTGAGAAACAGGCCATGGGAGCCTCCCGGGAGCCGCTGCAATCAAACAAACTAAGGGAAAAGGCCATGTGGGCCGCCTCACCAGAAAACATACAAAGAAACGGGCCACGTGAGCCGCCCGGGAGCCGATTCTCTCGAAACGAAGGGAGACGGACCACAAGACCATTCTGCCCGGGCCTCGCACCTCCCCTGGACCCCTCCCTAGAGGGCGTCGCCCCAACTCAACGTCATCACTCGTACCTCGCTCTTTCCGTCATCCGCGCGCTGCTGGGCGGGGTGGGCAAACGGCCCCCTATCGGCGATCGCGGGGCGATTGGGGGTCGTTGGACCCCCCCCCTGAGCCTGTCCCCCCGCCCAACTTTGCCTCTGCCCCCCTTCTTCCCCCCGCGACCGCGTTCTGCAGCTCCCTGACGTCCTTCTGGTGGGAGGCCAGATGGCCTCAGCGGCCGGCTCGCCGACGGGAGAAACGAGAAGGGGAGGGGGCAGCGTCAAGGGGGGTCACCACGGGCAGCCAAGTTCGAGGTTTTCGCTTCGCGAATTGTCGAAAAAACTTCGCGCTCTCGCACAACACCCCCAGGGGAAGACGACAGAAGGATGATGACGACCACGAAGAATCGCGAATCGCGAGCAGCGAACCGCGATTGGCTTCACGCAACCTGGCGGCCCTGCGCTCACCATCGGGGGGGGGTCACCAAGTCTCGCCTGAGGATTGAGGCTCCAGGGTAGAAGCTCGATGAGGTTTTCGAACGCTCGGGGTCGTTTTGAGGGGCTCTGGACTGTTCTGGGAGGCCAGTTTCATCAAAGGGGTCACCCAGTCTCTCGAGAGGATCGAGGTTCCAGGGTCGAAACTCGAGGCAGGTGTTGGACCGTTCGGGGTCATGTTCGTCTGGGGCTCTGGAGTGTTCTGGCGGGGCACTTCCTAAAGGGATATGGCGTTTCCTCGAAGATGTGGCGACCCCCCTGTGGTGGCCCCCCTTGTGGTGACACCCCTTGGCACTGGCCGGGGGGGGAGGGGGAGCAGATCTTGAGTCATTGTGGGTCGTTCGCGCACCCGTGCCATCGGCGGCTTTGAGATGGAAGACGAATCCCATCGGAGAAACGGTGTTCCGCCCGAGGTCAATACAAGGAGAGGCAGGACCAGTTGGGGAGGCGGAGAGGTGATGGGGGGCAGGCTGGGTGCGATCGCGCCATACCTGACATCCTATCCCTCCCTCCCATCCCTTCCCATCGCCCTGTTTTTATATGTATCCGAAGGCACGTGACAGAGCCGACCTGGAACTCCCCAAAAAACCACATCGTGCGATGTGCAATCGAAAAAGGGGAGCTGCGTACATAGGGGGAAGAGGATGAGGAGGAGGTGACGGGTGAGCAGGAGGATGAGCACGATGAATTTGAGGAGGATGAGGAAGGAGGAGGACGATGACGAGCAGCAACAGCAGGAGCTAGAGCGGAAGGAACGGGAGGAGCAGGAAGACCAGGGGAAAGCGGATGCAGGAAATTAGTGGAGCGACAACGATGAAACAAACATCGGATCTAGAATCGCGGCCCGCGCTGAGGCGAGAGCTCCATGGTGAACGACAGTGGCCCAGCGCCGATTCAAAAATGTGGCCCACGCTCAGGGGAGCAATCTTTTGAAACATCACAAGGATAATACACCAACCCATAAGAAAAACAATGCTTGGCATCCGCTTCAAGGACAAACACAAGAAGCTGGCCGAAGAGCTTCCGCACAGAGTCAGGGGAGACATCAGCGTAGCATGCATATTGTGTACGTAGTTGCACAGGAAGGGAGGAGGAGAAGGAGGAGGAGCAGGAGAGGAGGAGGATGGGGGAGGAGGAGGAGGTGGAGGAGAAGGATATTGGAGGAGGGCGGGGAGGAGGAGGAAGAGGAGGAGAGGAAGTGCAGGAGGACGAGGCGAGGGGATGAACAGGAGGACGAGGAAAGGAGAGAGGATCGAGCATACACGGTGTGTGCATGCTTTCCGCCATGTTTGGGCCTTGGGATGCCTTCGGGGGCCTTCGTGGCCCTCCGGAAATCTCTGGAGACCTAAGAAGCCGGGCCGACCGAGGGGCCCGAAAACGAAGGCAAGAGCGAGGGCCAGCAAAACCGTCCACGGCGGAGGGGCAACGACCGAGGAGGAAACGGGGCCCGAACCAACGAGGGGACAACACAACCAAGCGTCAAGTGCAAGCGGCAACAAGCAAGGCAGCTGCGCTGCCGCTGGCACCGTCTCTTGGACGGAATTTGTAACACCAAGTCCTTCTGGCAACATCTGCTGCCAGACTTCTTTTCGGCAGGTAGTGCATCACAGCCCCCATCTCCACGGGTCTCCCCCACCGAATCATATACACGAAAGGAGACCCAGACGCGAGCCAGACGCTGCGGGTGTCTGGTTTCGCCGCAGCTCGGCACTCCAACCCAATCACTAGCCCTCGAAGCCAATCTGGATCAAACAAGGCCTGAACCGAGAAAATGTAGTTCAACTCAAAGAACGCATGCACAACGCTAGCTTCGTCTAGTGGCACAACCGAGCCGGGTGGTACGCTGGTCCGACGACGCCGCCTATCTCGCGACTTGTGTTGCCTAGAAATTATGCCAGGAACGCGGGGCCGACCCTGACAACCAAAATCAGAGAATGGATGAATTCGGTTTGTGTTCGGGAATCGGTTTTCTGCTATGTATGGGGCCAAGGGGGCCAAACTTACAGCGACGACGACGACGACGAGGGCGGCGAGGACAAGGGGGAGGAGAAAGAAATCGACGACGAGGGCGTGGAGGGCAAGCACCCCCATCCATCCTATCGGCCCAAGCCGAGAGCAAGGGGAGAAGGAAGAAACGCATCGGAATCACATTGGAGCCATATTGACACAATCTTGGGGTCAAGTAGAGTTCGAAAAGGTGGCAATCTCGAAGGCGTCTCGGACTCATGGGGTCGTTCTGGGGCCACCTCGGAGTAAATTCGGGGTCGCGCGGTAGCCTTAGTTCAGTCGGAAGACAAGTGGTTCGTCTTGTGACCGCAGGGTTGCTCTGGGGTCATACTGGGGCCATTGCTTAGTAGGGTCGGGCATCTTGGGGCGACAGGGGTAATCTCGTGTTCCTTTCAAAACCCCTGTTGGGTCCATCTTGGAATCATCTTTCCGTTGCTGCCTCTCTTGTTATTGCTGCTACAAAGTTTGCTGTTACTATGCTGCTGGTGCTGCCTGGGCTGCCCGTGGTGCTGTTGCTGGTGCTGTGCTAAAGTTCGGGCCGTATTGGAGCCTTCTTGGGGCTCTCTTGTGGCCCTCGAGGGCTTGGGTCTCTGCGGGGGCCTTCTAAGGGCCCTTCAGACGCTACCGAGAGGGCCAATAATCCAACGCACACTTAACACAAACCGCCTCCTTATTGGAGAGCGTATTGTGTTAAATTGGTGCTAAAATGTTTGGCCCTCTTGGAGCCATCTTGGGGCCCTCTTGGGGCCTTCCTGGGCCCCTGCGGAAGCCCTCTGAGGGCCTGAAAAGGCCTCCAGGAGGGCCAAGAATTCAACACACATTGAAGACAAACCGCCTCCTTATTGGAGAGCTTCTTGTGATGATTTATGTTAAATGTCGTGCCCCTCTCAGGAAAAGAACACCCAAGAAGGCCCAAGAGAGACCCAAGAAGACCCCCGAAGAGATTTTGGTTCAGCTGACACGCGGGGGGGTCACCATGTATCCGATGTTTGTATACATGCTTCCTCTTGCAGAGCTCGGCTTGAGGCTCGAAGGGCCTAAGGAGGGTTCCAACCTGAGGTAATCAAAGACTTCGCGTGAGCTTCGAGTGTTATTGCTCTGCTCCAAGACGGCCCCAGAACGCTCCAAGACGCTCACTATGGCTTCAAGACGGCCAAAGAGACCCGGCAGACACCCCCGGGGGGGGCTCCAAGAGGACCCCCAGGGGCCTCAAGAGGCCCAAACCACAGTTGTTCAATCGTTTTTGAAGGATTTTCGCGTTCTCGCTTTTTCGGGGTTCCAACGTTCCACAAAGGCCCAAGAGGCCACCAGGATCGGTTCAAGACGGCCCAAAAGGCCTCCGAAGAGGGCCCCAAGACGATCGACGAGGGCACCAAGACGATCCATGAGGCCCACAATGCGGCCCAAGAGGACCCTCTCGGGAGCTGCACGAGGCCAGAACCATGGTTTTCCTTTTGTTTTCTGGCGGATTTTAGCGTTCTCGCTTTTTCTGGGTTCCAATGCTCCAAGACGGCCCAAGAGGATCGCCCCAAGACGACCTAACAGGCCACGGAAGAGGGATTCAAGACGACCCAAGATGACACCGAGACGACCCATGAGGCCCACCATGCGGCCCAAATGTCCCCCAGGACGGCCCCAAAAGGGGACCCAGGGGGCCACCAGAACTTTTGTGAAGCGGCGTGGGGGCATGCGGAGAGCCTTCGCAAGTAGACGCGGCGCCGGGGTCACCATGCATCCGAACAGTGCACGAATTCGTAAATTTCTGAAACGATCGCCGAGCCTCGTAGGAGCCCTTTTGGTGGCCTCTTGGGGCCTGCTGGGGGGTTTTTGAAGCATGATAGGGGGCTCTGGGGCGCCTCTTGAGGACTGTTGAGATTCTTAGGGGCTTCTTACGGCGTCTTGGGGGGCCCTTTGAGGGCCTCTTTTTTTTAACCCAGGCGGTGGTAAGAGCTGTCAGTCGGACAACGTCAGTGCCGCAAACACCTTCTCTCCTCAAAAGCGCTGTTCTGCAAGAACACAAAGACATTTCAAAACGTCCTGCAACGAAAGTGCGCTTGATTATGATTCCCCTTGTCCTCCCCCGCTGGTCTTGCATGCAGGAATGGAACCTGGAGTGGAACGTTATCTTCTCTCAGCCGATTTCGTAATGAGCTCTTCGGTGAAGGCCCAGAGCGCTTTCTGGTGCGTCCAGTTCACTGCCCATGGCATATTCGGCAGCACTTCCTGGGCTTGCGGATGGTAGTAACGTCCCCGAATATTTTGCACTCGCACGTCATCTGAAGCAGCTAGATAGACCTGCGTGAGAGCACCCTCTTCGGACGTCCACATCGATTCCTTGAAGTACTCTACAATATTTATGAACACTTGGACAATGGGGCCGTGCTCCCTATCATCTTGGTTCGTCTTGTTCCATATCTCGGTGTGCACAACTCCCGGATGCACGCTGTTTGAGAAGACATGCCTCTGAGCGTTTCTGGCGGCCACTTCCCTCGCGAAAAGCACGTTTGCCAGCTTTGACCGCGCGTAAGCGCCCATCTTGAATGGCTCCTCTGCGTCGTACAGGGCGTGCAGATCTGCCTCTGTAATGGCGCAGCCCTGCTTCGCTTCGAAGTGAGCCCCAGAAGATACAGCAACAACGCGTGCATCTCCTTTCTTATCCGCGGCGGACTGGATCAGGTCTTCCAGCAGCGTATAGAGAAGCTGATGGCCAACATGGTTGGTGGCAAATA